AGTCGTCTGGCACCTCCCCTGTTAACCAGGACTGCTGATAGGTGATGGGGAGTGGCTTGGTGAGCTCCTCTGTCAGCTCTCTCAGTACTCTGGGGTGGATCCCATCTGGCCCCATAGACTTGTGAGTGTCCAGGTGGCATAGCAGGTCATTAACTGCTTCCTCCTGGATTATGGGGGCTTCATTCTGCTCCCTGTCCCTGTCTTCCAGCTCAAGGGGCTGAATACCCTGGGGATGACTGGTCTGGCTATTAAAGACAGAGGCAAATGCGGCATTAAGTACGTCAGCCTTTTCCTCATCCTTGGTGGCAATGTTCCCCCCCTGCATCCAATAAAGGATTGAGATTCTCCTTGGCTCTCTTTTTGTTGTTAATGTGTTTGTAGAAACATTTTTTATTATCTCTTACAACAGTGGCCAGATTGAACTCTAGCTGGGCTTTTGCCTTTCTACTTTCCTCTCTGCATGACCTAACAAGATCCCTGTACTCTTCTTGAGTTGCCTGCCCCTTCTTCCAAAGGTGGTAAACTCTCCTTTTTTTCCTGACTCCCAGCAAAAGCTCCCTGTTCTGCCAGGCCGGTCGTCTTCCCCGCCGGTTGGTCTTAAGGCACATGGGGACAGCCCGCTCCTGCACCCTTAAGACTTCCTTCTTGAAGAAGGCCCAGCCTTCCTGGACCCCTTTCCCTTCAGGACTGCCTCCCAGGGGACTTTCCCAAACAATGTCCTGAAGAGGCCAAAGTCTGCCCAGAGGCACCCCTGAAGTGCACCGGCACCCAGTGTGAGTTCAGTCTAGTGACCAGGTTAGAGATAGTCCAGAGTAAAACACTGAAATGTGCATGCTGTGGATGCCAGCTCCTTAGCACCAATGCTTTTGCTGTACAGATCCTATCCTACGGACTTCACTGCTTGCTAATGTAGATGTTAGGCAATGCAACTCTACCCTCTCTCTGTACTGTGACTGAGCTTGGCCCTTCAGTGTGAATTTAGGGGCACAAGGAAGTGCGTGGGTTTGTAAGGTGCCCCCAGACTTAATGAACTTATATAGCAAAGGCTTTTTGGAACACTCTCTCATCTCAGTCTTGTTTTCCCTTTCAGAATACATTTGCTGGATCTTTTACCTACCCCCACCCCAACTCTGCCATAGAAGGAAAATATTCTTCCCTTACTCACCGGCATTCATCTGTTTAGTTTGTGGTTCAGGGCAATATCTACTGTTATGTGCATGGAGTAGTTGAGGTCTCATCTCTGTTAAAGCTCTGCTAACCAGTTCAAGAATAGAGAAGAGAAGTGAGAGAGTTTGCATTCCAGACTGAGTAGCTGTCAGAAACTCCTTCTCTTGTTACGGAAGTCTTAAGTTCATTGCCTCAATTTATCTCGGTGTAGAAGTACAGTATAAAGAAAGGTGGTTCTTCAGGTAGTGAGAATTCATATCCTATCTTATAATCTGCAGCTCTGAGTATTTGAGAGAGAAAGGTAACTGTATGTATATTTTGGATATTTGAAAGCATGAGATGCTCACAGAAAGCCGTTTCACTAAACAGGCACTTTCTTCCTGAATCATAAGCAATTCCTGGTTTGCGAAATATGTGTGATCAATAACCGTAAACATTTTCAAATTCAAAATCAGAATTGTATCCAATCCTGGTTGGAAATATAAGCCATACAGCATCATTTCTCTTCTCTGTCTGCAGGATCAACATTCTTAGGGTAAAATTCATCTCAGTTAACATTAGGGATATAAAATGTAGGTGTCGACATCAGAGCTAATCATCATCAACTCTTTTTCTAGTCTGTGCAGAAAAATATGCACTTTCAGGGCATGAGCTGTCTAATTAATTTAAACATGTGCTTTAGGATAAGATGAATCATTTCCTCAAAATGCCTGCTCTTTCCACTGATGATAAAGGAAGTTAGAACAACTAGATGATACATAAATGCGTACTTTATCACTCAGCCTAAGAGACAAGTTTTGAGAGAATACACTAAAAAATTCAAATGTTCTTTTCAAAAATACTCTGTATTGTTCACATTAAATCCAGGAATTCTGCAGTCATTTCTACATGCATTTGCTACGAGCAAGCCCAGAAGCAAATCTGGTTAATCATTTGCAGTATTTACCCATTTTGACTGTGACAAATATGGACATGTTATCTAACGTACCTCAACGGCCGCAGTTTGATCATGTGCTTATTTTATTTGACTGATATGTTGCAATGATCATCACAATTTGTGTTATGAAACCAAACCAGGGAACAGATCACTAAGGGTGTTAATTGCCAAAGCTACATCAGCTTCCAAGAGCTTGAAGGGAGCTGCAGTGATTTTGCCCAAGCTGAGGATCTGGTTATCATGTCATGTACATCTTAAATCATGGCAGTCCACTTACATTTAAACTGTGATGCTGTAGTTATTTAAAAATATGAGGTATTAATGTGTACCAGTTTCCCTATAATGAGGCGGCAAACTCATTTTCATTACCATGTATTGCTGAAGGAGCACAGATGTAAAAGCATTACTGGTGTCAGGGATCACATCCCTATTGAAGCCATTGAACCAGCAGAGGTTTGAACCCTTTGTATTCAGTGCAAAAAAAGGGCTTGACAGCACCCTCCTCACATGTGTTGAGTTGGTGATAGGGAAAAGTGTGATTTCTCCCTCTGCTACCCCACAATAAAACGGTAGCAATGGTACCTAATCACTGATCTTAATGGGAGTTTGAGTCCAAAATAAGCAATTCATTTATATGAAGGGTGACAATCTGGTCGGAGGGGGGAGGGGTGGGGGGAGGGTGTCTTTTGGGGTTTTTTTAGCTTATGTTTTGCTTTTTAAATACAACCATTTTAGCTACAGACTATAAATACGAAATAGAGGTTGGGAAACAAGAAGAACAAAAGGAAAGCAGACAAATTGCTTATTCACTTCATTACTTTAAAATAATGAAATTCAAACAGTTCTGACAAGATGCTTATGCCACATCCCTTCGATTTTCCCTTCCACTCTTCTGTAGAAGCAAACTGACTTACTGGAACAACAGAGCTGGGAATCAAGCATTTCCAAGTCTTAATCTAGATTTAGATATTGGATCCTTGGCTGTCTTTGGCCAAGTTGTTTAGTCCTTCAGCTACTTGTCTCTCATCTCCAAAATTTGATAAGAATTATTTTTTGCTGCACTGGGAAAAGGGGCTGCAAAGCTTAGTGAATGTTTGTTCTTTCTTGTGAATATGAGGTGCAATCCATGAAGGCAAGAACTTGCCAACTCTTCAGGATAGGGCCTAGAGCTAAGATTTCAAAGCAGGAAAGGAGACAGATCTATAAGTTTCCCATTACTTATGGAGTAACCTTCACCGCATGGAAAACTTTTGCCTGTATCTTATTTATTCATTTGGAAGGAAGCTAAAGTGATTTGTGGAGATGAGTACATGAGGAGAAAAAAAAGCCACATATTTGGGTGGCAAGCAGACTTTTTCTAAATGAGTGGTAAACTGCTTTAATCTGTAATGAAACTATTAACACAATTTTCTAATGACAAAATATTTGGTTTTCAGTGCATTAAATAAGAAGCATTCCATCATAGGAATGGCAATAATATTGATACAAGGTGTGGGTTGACATAGGTTTTGTCTAAACCCTGTTGTTGATCTTGCCATCTCAGGACTGTAGCAGCTGCACATCATGGTTGTTCCTTTTTTGCATCACTTGATGTTATATTTGGGTTAAACACTCAAGGGTAGCCTTGCTGTCCGTTCTTGCTCTGTCCTCGCTCACATCCGTTCCCAAAGTCTTTAGTGTATTACTAAGATCTGAATAACACTCGTAGTGCTTGACCACCTCAAGGGCAAACAGCTTTGATCCCAAGAGATGAAAACCCAGTTTGATTCATAAATTCCACACTGATTTAAAATTAAAAGGTACATCAGCAGGTAGGATTTCCAGCTAATGTGTGACCTCCTCCTTCTGAATTTGTATCCCATAGATAATAGCTCTATTTGATAAAACACTATACTACAGTAACATTTTCAATCATACAGAAGACACTCAGATTACCAGTTCATTACTTTACTCACTTTCATTTTAGCTTCTTCCCATGATTAAGCACCTGGAAAGTTATAGCTACCTTATTGGAGAAAGACTCAACATTATATTGCTGATGTTATATATTTCAGAATTTATATCTATCTGGCAATGAAAACACCTTTCTAGAGAAAACAATATGACATTGTATTTTCTTTTTCTTTCTTATTTCTCTCCCACAGATTGTGAGCGTGGGAAAGCATGTTAAAGGATACCATTATATTGTTGCCAACCTGGTAAGATACTTTTCTAGAATTATACTCCTGCTCGGTAAGTGAAACACTCAGTTTTGCTTTGAAGTTATCTCACTTCACACATTTGCCATTTGTCATTAATATGTGGTTGCGTGTAATATATTCTTTATGGTGCGTAAAAGAACTTGGTTTTGTTGTTACAGCCATCTAGACAAGAAGGGCACAATGTTACCTCTTCAATTTTATCAAAATCAATGTAGCATAAAGGACTGCTAAGTGCATCTTGTGGCTGAATTAGGATTTACGGAAGTACACTATGATTTTTGACTCATCTTTTTAATATTACTAATATAACAATTCTCGAGGTAACTTTTCTACATTCTCCAGGGAATATTCATTTTGCTGTAAGATCAGCTATTTCCAGTCAAATTACTAGTTCAGTATTTTCACTCTAAGTCTAAACTGCACATTCACACAGATAATGTTCAGAAGAGGGCAAAGAAAGAGTAAATGCAATATTTTATTAATAGAATTAACCCATTCTTTAAGCCAAAATACCCGCCTGGCCAAGCACAGTGAATGTAGGACACTCTAATGTATGTTTTAAATTATATTCTTTTTGCTCTCCCTCAAGGAATTCTAGTTGACATGAAATGTGTTCCCCAGGGCTCCGTTTTGGGGCCAGCTTTCTTTAATATCTTTGTCAATGATCTAGATGGGGGGATTGATTGCACCCTCAGTAAGTTTGCAGATGACACCAAGCTGGGTGGGAGTGTCGATCCACTCAAGGGTAGGATGGCCCTGCAGAGGGATCTGGACAGGCTGGACAGATGGGCCGAGGCCAACTGTATGAGGTTCAACAAGGCCAAGTGCTGGGTCCTGCACTTGGGTCACAACAACCCCATGCAACGCTACAGGCTTGGGGAAGAGTGGCTGGAAAGCTGCCTGGCAGAAAAAGGACCTGTGGGTGTTGGTGGACAGCCAGCTGAACATGAGCCAGCAGTGTGCCCAGGTGGCCAAGAAGGCCAACAGCATCCTGGCTTGTATCAGGAATAGTGTGGCCAGCAGGAGCAGGGAAGTGATTGTTCCCCTGTACTCGGCACTGGTGAGGCTGCACCTAGAGCACTGTGTCCAGTTTTGGGCCCCTCAATACAAGAAGGACATTGAGGTGCTGGAGCGTGTTCAGAGAAGGGCAACAAGGCTGGTGAAGGGTCTGGAGCACAGGCCTTGTGAGGAGCGGCTGAGGGAACTGGGGTTGTTTAGTCTGGAGAAGAGGAGGCTGAGGGGAGACCTTATCGCTCTCTACAGCTACCTGAAAGGAGGTTGTAGTGAGGTGGGTGTTGGTCTCTTCTCCCACGTAGTTAGCGATAGGACAAGAGGAAATGGGCTCAAGGGGAGGTTTAGATTGGATATTAGGAAAAATTTCTTCACAGAAAAGGTAGTCAAGCATTGGAACAGGCTGCCCAGAGAGGTGGTGGAGTCACCATAGAATCATAGAATCATAGAATGCTTTGGGTTAGAAGGGACCTTTAGAGGTCGTCTAGCCCAACCCCCCTGCAGTGAGCAGGGACAGCTTTAATTAGATCAGGTTGCTTCCATCCCTGGAAGCGTTCAAAAAATGGGTAGATGTGGCACTTTGGGACATGGTTTAGTCTAGTCTACCCTTAATTGGTTTAGTGTGGACTTGGTAATGTTAGGTTAATGGTTGGACTGGATGATCTTACAGGTCTTTTCCAACCTAAACGATTCTATGATTCGATGATTTTATTGTGCTTTGCTTTACTTGTAACTTAACTTAAGATCACATCAGATTTTTAAAACCTCAGGTGTTTTAAATGAGACATGTCTATTCTCTTAGGTCTTACAAATTAGATTTTCAGCATTAGAAATTTATAGTTCCCCAAGTACCTTTTCCTATGCAAAATAGTTGCTGTAAACAAGGAACTGGATGTTGCAGTGAACTGCTAGTGGGATATACAGTGGAGACAGGCACATCTACTCATCTGCTTCAGCAGGGGCACACGTTACTATCTACTGGCTGTTCAATAATGTGGGTAGTATGACTTCCTGATGTGTCACCTTTTACATTTACTGTCAGTATCCTTTAGGACATGAACCAAATCTCTGTCCGTAACAGTTTTTTTTCGCTGGGGTATTGGGTCAGTACCCCACAATTTTTTTCCTAAATCTTTCTTTGTGGAGTGTGATAATACACTTCTGTTCGCACTGATAAATGTCGATCAGAGGAATTTAAGAAAATAAGAAGATACCTCTGAGCTAGCATTAAACATAGCAGCTAGGAAAGGAGCAGAAACATTCATGCTTGCTTCTTAGCTTGCTTTAGCAGTTAGCATTATGCAGTTTCTTGATGTTCAGTTATATCTCTAAAGGCAGATTTTACTAAAGAATTTGTTGTTACACGTGCTGAACAGATTAGCCTGAGAAACTAATAAGTCAGGGAGTATATGTACTTTATTTTTTCTTTCAATGTTGGGGGTCACTCTAGGCTTTAAATATATAGCAGACCTGAGAGCTACCACCACCATATTTCACAAAAGTGTGATTCTGATATTTTCCTTGCACAAACAGTGAGATCCTCATGCGCTGTCTCTGCCTTCTAATGTCTTATATTATCTCAGACACCTTCAGCCTAAACAATGAATCTGGAATAAATATATTTACACAATAGTGTTGCTCATTTTGCAAACATGTAAAGAAACGCGGATATATCAGTTAAAGCACTAGTACAGTGCTCATTCAAATCTGCCAACTTTGATGGAAATTGGATTAAAGCTTTAATATTCTGCAGGCACTTTTCAGTTGACTTGCCAAAAGCATTTCTTCAAAAACCATCTGCCATTCCCAGCAATGTGTTGCTTAGCTGTCAAGACCACCCTAGCAATAATGCAGGAAATTTATTTCTTGGTTTTGTTTCATTCTTTATTACACAAATGGAAATTATGAACAACGGTTCAACATTATTCTCTGGGTTTAAGTCTTGGCTTCTAATGGAAACCTGCTGCTGTACATTCTTTATGCTGCCTTGCTGACCTAGAATAGATCGGACCCACAGTGGTGTACGAGGACAAACAAAATCTTAAATTGATTTTCTAGGGATTCAAAGATATTTCTCTGGAGAGATTTATGCATGGAGGAGCCAATGTGACTGGATTTCAGCTAGTAGATTTCAGTACGCCGATGGTAACTAAGCTGATGCAGCGCTGGAAGAAGCTGGACCAGAGAGAATACCCAGGATCTGAGACCCCACCAAAGGTACTGGCTGATCTGAAGTTCTACTAGATACCACTCAAGTGTTCTAATTTCTGATTGACATTGTTGACTACATGAATGAAAACCTTAATATTTAGGCAGAGGAGAAGGCAGTTTATCTTGCTATAACTGGCAACTAATTATGCCTGTCCTTATGACTGTATGATAGAAAGAGAAAGTGCACACATTTCACTCGTACTTTAATGTCCTTTGTCACTTATTCTCCAACTTCACCCCTTTACTGACAGGAATTAAAGGTCAAATGCTTAACTGACAACTTAATTTCAACCAATTTTACATGAATTATTCTAATCTAGATTCACTTAGAGTGCAGAGCTTTCCCAACAGCTGAATTCTTCTGTATATGAGATATAACCACAGTTGTAAATTTACTACCTTTAAATTTTCATTTGGAGTTTCCTCTGGAAATTCTATCCACCTCAAAACCTGGTGTAGTAATCACATTCAGGCACAATCTTACACTGAAATTACATCCCAGTGTTCCTCTATCCTAATCCCTCAAGGATGGATAACAAAATATTTCTCTCACCTATAATTTTCTTGGCAGGCAAATCACAGCATAGCTATAAATATGACTTCATCAAAATAGTTCTGTTACTATATGTACTAATGCATATCAGACCTAGTTGAGACTGGGCTTCTTTGTGCTGGGTGCTGTGCAAAGATAAGCAATCAGCCCTCTCTCGGCTGAGAGAGCAGTAGGTTGGCAAAGTCTAGAGAAACTATCAACATGGATAATACAAAGCATAGCTACGTAATTCAGTGACTATTCAAGAAATTTATGTTCTGGAGGAAAAAGAAACCCAAGAATGCTGTGGGCTATGGCATGCAGACATACCCAAGTACGGGTGACAGGAACAATTTAGCTTATAGGACTTCTTGCCACATGAACAGGATTGTGCTGCCTCCTTCTGAGAAGTCAGCATGATTAATCCAAATTGCACATAATTCACCTACGGATAACCAAAATTTAAGATTGTAAAGATAAACCATGTCCCAAAGAGTTTATAATATGCAAGACAAAGGAAAGGAAGGAAATTAGACTTGAATAAGTGAATTTAAATTTTGGAATTTACAGGGCATATCAATAGCAGCCTTGGGCATGTGAACAACTCCTGGTGCAGTATGTCCATCAGAAAACCATACTGAGAAAATATCCCTTTGTTTATGTGGCTCCAGGCTAACATCTGGTGAAGACTTGCTCTACACATTTCATTTGATGTGTTCTCAACCTAAAGCAGTTACCATAGTTAGTGTAGAAACACAGACTGTTCAGTGCCCTGTGTCATTCAGAGAGCCAACACAGTTTTTCCAACAGGAAGAACATACCCTTGATCATTCATAACAATTCCAATGGCCTGGATGTCTGCTCATTAGCCATGCATTTTTTCAGTTATATTTCTTCAGTGAGTTACTGTTTCTTTCTTTTCTTTTGAATAAGTTGGGTGGGTAGGGGTTATTGTTTAAACATATAAGACAACTGGAAAAAAAAATTAAGACTTGCATATCTCCAGTTTAATTTGTTTCTTTTAATAATTTTTCAGAAGCAGTTTTCTCTACCCTGAAGAAACACAGTTTTAAAGCTGGAGCTACTGAAATGTGCTCTTCTCAGTCCTGCATTTGTTCCTTAGACAAAATTGCTTTTGATTTTGAGATTTTTTTTCTAAATGAAGGTGTAGAAACTGCTGCATAATGAATCAAACTAGGAATATCTGAGACAGCTGATTTTCGTAAAGGCATGCGAGCTCTAAAGTGGTGTGTTTGTCCATCTATTTAGTATACATCTGCATTAACATATGACGGAGTACTTGTGATGGCTGAAACTTTCCGTAATCTTAGAAGACAGAAAATTGATATTTCAAGGAGAGGAAATGCTGGTGATTGTCTTGCTAACCCTGCAGCCCCGTGGGGTCAAGGAATTGATATGGAGAGGACATTAAAACAGGTAAGGGTAGACTTTATTCTGGTGATCTTTGTGAATATTGGATACTAGTTGTACACTGTATGATTTGGAATACATACACAACAGTAATAATGGGAGAGGTGAAATTTATTTTTCAGTTGCCATTTGGAAACATCGGGGCTGTTCTGGTTGTTTTGGTTTATAACTTGGAATGAAGGCAGAGGGGAACTGCTACTATTTGAAACTACTGTTAGTTCTATTAAGATAGTTGGGACTTCCTCTGCTGAACTGGTGAGCTCATCTGTTGCTTTTGCATATAACTTGGGTGTACAGATACTGTCATTTAAGGAAAAAGTTATAGCTATATCATATAACCTTTCAAGTATGTTTCTGTCGTCTTGAATAAAAGTAGATTTCTCTCAGGGAAATCACATAGGTAGTATCTTTTCTTTAAAAAAATAACCCAGAGCTATTGTTCTCTGATGTCAGGATTTTGAATTCCTGATGAATATGGATGCCTAGAAAGTTCCAGATTTCTGTCAAGACGATTTAGCCTTTCCTTTGAATGGGACAGTAAGAAAATAAAAATCCTGCAGTAGAATTTAAATCATTGCAAATGAACAGGCTCCACTCAGGAGAAACTGCTGAGGAGAAGTGACTGCTGACAGAGCTGGCAGCTCTGTGCCTGGAAGCCAAGGTTTCAGTCCTGGAGAAAAGTCAGCAGAGATAGAAATGGACAGAAGGAAGGAGTAAGTGGTTTAAATCCACATCCTGACTCTTAGGGATAGAAATAAAGCATTTTGTATGCTTCACATACTCTGCAGATGCACAGATCTGCAACAATTGTGAGAAGCATGAAGTCAGGCTTCTGTGTCAGGGTGGACAGCATGAGCCTTCAACTCTGGCCAAAGAGGTTTGCATGGCCAGATCCTGATACAATCAAAGCCAGCAGCAGTATGGCCATGGCTTCTTTGGGATGAAGACCACAGTCTGGGTATCCTTCGGTGAGACAGTAAAGCACTGAAAGAAAAAGAAAGAGTTCTGGTTTCAGCTGAGACACAGGTGGTGGGAAACTGCCACAGCCAATCTTATGGTTCTACATCTGTCCTTCTCCACTCTGAGGCTTTGAAAACACTCTTTTCAGGCCCTATGCATGTCACCCATCTTCTGTGATAGTAAATTGCTTTGCTGGGGCTGAGGTTGTTGTCAAGTTTACTTTGGTGAGCAATATATACTCAATGTATACATTTACTCCACCAGAGTGTGAGCTAAAAAGATACATAAGCTCAGGCCAAACGTCCTTTAGGTTTATTTCATGTGATCCAAAATATTCCACAGCAGTGATGAGAATGGTAAAAAATGTACTTCCTTTTAGGACCTGCAGCTGGAAAGCGTTGAGCTGCACAGCATGAAAGAAGAGAAGATCCATTATGTGTCTTCGTTAGCACTTAGATACTGGCATATCTAAGCCTATTTTGAGCATAGTTTGACAGGAAAAAGGAATACAAAGGAAAAGTAGCCAACATTTTTGCATTATAATGCCTGTCTATTCTACAGTAGCGTTGTTATGGTAATCTAAGGACATAGCCAGGATTACTTTCACTGCTCTGTGACATTTGAAATGTACAATATAAGACTGGATCTTCACGATGCTTGTTCTTCCATTTGTAGGTTCGAATACAAGGATTGACAGGAAACGTTCAGTTTGACCACTATGGTCGCAGAGTCAACTACACCATGGATGTCTTTGAGCTGAAGAACACAGGCCCTCGGAAGGTACATGCTGACAATGTTTACTATCGTGATATCATATAAATGAGTTATGTATGATGAAATGATTATGTAAACTTATATTAAACTGGACCATTGTGTAGTTTAAAAAAAGATAATATATTGAATACATGGATAATATTTCTGGTGGAAGCAGATTTAAACTGCATTTTCTACTAGATATTATTATTCAGTGCAACAAATTGGGGAACACAAAACAAGTGTACATCTTGGAGAGGTGGGATGTCAGTCAGTCAAGCATACTAATGAAAACCAGCTGGATGTCATGTTGCTAGGCTGCTGGGTGACGGAAAATGGTCAGAACTCTGAATAGTAGATATTTCTTGTATCTTATCCAAAGATTTCTATCTTGCAAATTACTGGCATTTTTAGGTAGGGTCATTTGTACATTCTGTGTAAACATGAATCATAAGCTGTAACTAACATAGGGCTTTTAAGGGGGAAAGGAGAGGAGAGAGGAGGAAGACAAAATGCCCTGAGTACTTGTATTTTCTGAAATTAATTGCAGTATCTAATCCTGTGTGCTTGACTGGTTGCTTGTAAGCAACTTAGGCAAACGCACATTAATATATCTCTAAGCAGAGCCTCCATGTCTGAATGCATATAGCATATCAGTCAGCCCAATCACTTTGAAAAGATAAGCCTGGGTGCATTGTTAACCCTTTCTCTTCTGTGCTGAAATTTGTCCATTTTTCACAGTATAAAAAAAAATAAAGGGCAGAAAATACACTCACTCTCAAGGGTTTTGTTTTATTTGGAGGCACTGAGGCCTGTTTTGTTTGCGAGGTCATCAGAACAAGAAAAAGTGAGAAGCTGATGGTGAATAGGGGAATCATGGCCGCTTGAGTAGGGCTAAGGCAATAAGAATTGAATTAAATAGTCCTCTGCTGTTGGGCCAGAGGTGACAAGCCCAGTAAATAGTACCCCAGGTGAACTGTGTGTCCCTGAAGACAGTTACGTGCCACAGTGATGAGGAGGCAGAGTCTTAAACTGCAGACCCAGAGCAGAATTACACATTGGGATGAACAAACTGCCAGTATATCAGAGTATAGAGCTGTAGACAAAAGCAAAGCATGTGCCTGTGTATGAAGAGTATTGGTGCAATTGCCTTTTGAAAGTATGGCAGATGGCTGTAGAATAAACTGGGAAAGGTGAGTCTGTCTTCCTTCTTTCTTGGAAAGCCCAGTGTCTCCTGCCTGGCAACGTGACCTTGCTGCCACTCCTGCTCCCTTCCTGGCTGTGCGCTGCACTATCAGCAGCCAGGAGGATGTACGGGTAGCTGGGGTGCATCGAAGGCAAGTGGTGAAATATGACCTTTCCATCCCCAATTCCCAATTATACAGGAGGGAAGGCAAGGTGGAAAAGATGTGGCTAATTAGGTCACACCTTCAGTAACTCATGCGGGAATTTGCTTGGCAGCAAACTGTAGAAAGTGGCCTATTGTTCCTGTTTCAACATTTGTCACCTGTTTTGGGAGAGGTGTCTGGCTGGCACCACTGCAGGGATGTCCCCACCCTCTCTTCTTGCCTGCAATTTGTGGGCAAGAGTGGCTGCAAAAAGAGGAGCTATGGATGTGCTGTGCTAGAGTCCCAAGGTGCTTTTCTTAGTGTTTCAGGCATGCCTCTCTGCCACTCTTAAGCCATTACCTGCCTTTGATATAACAAGCCATAACAGCTTTGACAGATCTGGCTACTCACAAGAATTTATTTCTCATATATTACATGGTATTTTATATGTGATCATTGGACCAATTCTGTGCTCCAGCCTGACAACTGCTGTATAATACGTGAGAAATGGCTATACTTAATTGAACTAAGAGGCCTTCACTTTTAATGTCTTCTTCTCATGTCCTACATAACATGACTTATGAGTCACCCAGCAATATCTTTTCAGGACTAGCCTTTCCAGTCAGAGTAATGCATGCCTCTAATCTTTAGAAAAGTGATTTTTGTTGCCCATACCTTTAAGGATGTGAACGGAGTATTACAAAATGGCACAGCTAGTCACAGGCAGACTTCCATATAGTTTGGTAAAATGGGAAACAACAGCCAGTGCTCGTATTAGTTTAATTTATGCAGCATTTCTTACTTGGTTCTTGCTGCAGAAAAATAACAAACCTGCTGATAAGGGGAAAAGGGGTGAAGAGAAGGATCACGGAGATGCAGTGGGATGGCTCCTGTGACTGGAGTGTTGCAGTGGAGAGGCACAGGCTCTTTAGAAAGAACAGGCAGGGAAGATGAGAGGGGAAGTTGCTCTTTACATAAGAGAGCAGCTGGAGTGCATGGAGCTCTGCCTGGGGATGGATGAAGAGCCAGCTGAGAGTTTATGGGTTTGAATTAAAGACAGGACAGGTCAAAGTGACATTATAGTGGGTTTCTGCTCTAGGCCACCTGACTAGTAAGAACAAGTGGATGAGGCCCTCTACAGATAGATAGGAGCAGCCTCATATTCACAGGCTCTGGTCGTTATGGAGGACTTCACGCACCCTAGTATCTGCTGGTGAGACAACACAGCAGGACATAAGCAATCCAGGACATTCCTGGTGTCCGTTGACAACAACTTATTCCTCCAAGGGATAGAGGAGCCAATGAGGAAAGGTTCTCTGCTGGACCTCCTACTCACCAGCATGGAGGGGCTTGTTGGGGATGTGAAGGTGAAAGGCAGCCTTGGCTGCAGTAAGCATGAGATGGTGGAGTTCAGGAGCCTAAGAGCAGGGAGGAGGGTGAAAAGCAAGGTCACACTTGAGGAGAACAGACTTTGGCCTCCTCAGAGATCTGCTTGGAAGATAAGGGTTAAGGCCTTGGAGGGAAAAGAGGCCTAAGAGAGCTGCTTGACATTACAGGATCACCTCCTCCAAGCTCAAGAGAGTTCCATCCCAATGAATAAGAAGTCAGGCAAAAATGCCAGAAGGCCTGCATGGATCAACAAAGAGCTCCTAGCCAAACTCAAACACAAAAAGGAAGCATACAGAGGATGGAAGCAAGGATGGGTAACCTGGGAAGAATACAGAAACATTGTCTGAGCATCCAGAGATGAAGTTAGGAAAGCGAAAGCCCAAATGGAACTGAATCTGGCTAGGGATGTCCAAGGCAACAAGAAGGGCTTCTATATGTACACAGGCAACAAAAGGATGACTAGAGAAACTGTGGGCTCTTTGCTAGGTGAGACAGGGGACCCAAGTACACAGGACATGGAAAAGGCTGAGGTATTGAATGCCTTCTTTGGCTG